ACCAATAATGTTTGAATTTGAGAACCATTGCTCTATGAAGTAAACCTTTCCTCTTTTATTACATCAGGAGTGGGCCAGTCATTGGGCTGTGCTGGTCGTGAGAGAGTAGGAATCAACTTAACTCTTCCGTAAACGGACTCTCAAATATATATATGTATTTTGCCAGATCCCATTCTCTGGGTGTGAGGGAACAGGCTTCTTACTGATGTTTCTTCCTGCAAATGATTAGGGTTAGTTTGAGTACTTAATTTTTTGGTTAGCTCATATAGTTCATCAAGTTCTTTTTCTAAAAAGTGAAAAAGGTATATGTGTGTATGCTTTCCAAGCCCTTAAACACATGAAAATGTCTTTTTGAAAAGTCTTCAAACATATATGATAGATTGGCTGCGAGTCTGGGAAAATTTTGTTGCTAGTTTTCCGATTTGTCAGTTTGGTTTTCTGCAGCTCCATTCTGCTCTCCTGAACTCTTGAATTTGCAGCCATATGTCGGACCAGATCTTGGAGTTTTGCCGGAAGCTCCATGCCAGAAAGGAACTCACTAGTGCCAAATACTTTTACATTCTGAATAAGTTTCTAGACCAGGGGTCAGCACACTTTTTCTGTGAAAGGCACAATAGTAAATATTTTAGGCTTTGTGGGTCATATAATTGCTATCACAAGTCACACTAGTCAACTCTGCTTTTGTAGTATGAAAATGGCCATAGACAATATGGAGACAAATAAGCATGGCTGTGTTCCAAGAACACTTCTTATTTATTTATTTAGAGACAGGATCTTGCTCTGTTGCCCAGGCTAGAGTGCAGTGATGTGATTTCAGCTCATTGCAGCCTCTGCCTCATGGGCTCAAGTGATTCTCCTGCCTCGGCCTCCCAAGTAGCTGGAATTACAGGTGTGTGCCACCATGCCTGACAAATTTTTGTATTTTTAGTAAAGACGAGGTTTCACCATGTTGGCCAGGCTGGTCTTGATCTCCTGACCTCAAGTGATCCACCTGCCTTGACCTCCTAAAGTGCTGGGATTTCAGATATGGTCCACCATACTCGGCCAGGAACACTTTATTTATGGCACTGAAATGTGAGTTTCATATAATTTTCATGTGTCACAAAATGTTATTCTTCTGTTGATTTTTAAAACCATTTAATATTGGGAAAACCAGTCTTTGCTCATGGACAAAGAATGAACAAGAAAGAAAGTGTGGAGGGGAATATCATCTGCAGGCCGTGATTTGCTGACCCCTGCATTAAACCATTCACCATCCACGTAGGACTTGCTAATGGGGTAAAAAGATTCTACTAGATCAGCCAACTGCTGGACTACCGCTGCATACTGAGATTGGGAAGACTAAGGAGAGGATTTCTCTGGAGCCTGGTCAGTGTTATAACTAGAGTTATATGGAAATTAGACTGATCTGGATTTTATTAAAGCTAGGAGGTATTAGGAAATCTGGGAAACCTGCCTGAGATTTCATCCAAGGGACAGAAGAAAAACCTGATTGTCAGAATGGGGATTATTGAGAACAAAATATAATGTTATGATTGTTCCATATGGGGTCCAGCTCCTTTATGAATGTGTTGCATTTGCAGCTATCAACTTTTCATAGGACTAGTTTTGTTGTTGTTGTTTACTCTTTGTCCTTCAAGAGGCGGATCTCTATATTTCAATGTTAGAATTGACGTTAACTTCTGTTCCTGTTCCTATTGTTGTAGGAAAAAACTAGATTCTTGTCACACAACCAGGGAAGATTAGGTATGCGGACACTTTGCAGGGTGAGGGGCTACAGAAATTATTGGGCAAAAAAGGAAAAAAGACTCTCAGCAAAGCAAGAGGGGTTCCTGTTAACAGGCCTCCATCTCATAGATTGAATCCCAGGTTACCACCCAGAAATAGGGGAGACCAGGAGACCAAATTCCTCTCTGCTGCAAATGGCATGAAGTTCCTGCAGTCCCACCCTGTCCTCCCAGTGCATGGGCTGATCAGAGATTCTCTGTGGAGCCCTTTTTCTCACTGTCCCACTATCGTTTGAGTCCTAATAAAAAGTAAATTTTAGATTCATTATATCCAGGCGGGTGCAACTCCATGAGCACAGGGTTTAACTGGAGGAGGGTGCTATTGTACACAAGAAAAAGGCACCTCTTCCCCAGGGCAGCCTTGACTTGTGCTGGAGTGCAGCATTGGGGACTTGCTAGACACAGCTTGGATCCCAGCCTTCAATTGCCTTCATGGCCATCACCGTTAACAAACTACACAGTGCTGTGAGTAGCAAAGTTCTTTGTCTCATCCAAAACTCCAGAAGTCATGCGTCTTCTGTGAGCACCCATGAAACTGGCAGTCTGACTTGTTAGCTTGCAAGTAGACTGTTCTCACAGGTTTTGATATCTTTTACTTAATTTATATTTAGCACTAGAGGTGTTCTGCTATTTCTCAGCTAAATTTAATGTCTCTTTTGAGTTACCAATGCTAAAGAATAAATTTTAAAAAGATAAAACTATGACTCATATATAATAGAATGAAAACATGTTAACATTTTATTTAACTCATGAATTAGAGGGGAAACTAGCCAGAGGTCACAACTGGTTCAAAGGAAAGGTCAAAGACCAATTTATATAGAGTAAGGTAACTTTGAACTTAATTTACCAATGGACACAAAATTGGCTTTTTCCATGGGAGGTGGGGTGGAGTGAGGGTGTGGGGTGAGGTGGAGTCTACTGAACTTCCATAAGTCAGAATTTATTTGCATGTTTATAGACAAGAATTATTTGTGTTTATCTAAAATCTACAGAGTTCTGAAATAACTCCAAGACAAGAAAAGACACAAACTCCATAGAAACAAATAAGTGAGAAAGGTGTGCTGTAAAGAATGGATGGTTTTCCACTGGAGATGCTCAGTAATCATTTTTGCTAATTCAAAAGTCTTAACTTTCCCTTACAGCAATAAAATGTACTACATGTATAATGTTTCCAGGGTTATTGATCAAATGTGTACAGAAAGAGATTTTTAAAAAAGTCATTCTAGGCTCAGTGCGATGGCTTATGCTTATAATCTCAGAACTTTTAGAAGGCCAAGGCAGGCAGATCACTTGAGGTCAGGAGTTCAAGACCAGCTGGCCAACATAGTAAAACTACTAAAAGTGCAAAAACTAGTTGGGTGTGCTGGCGCGTCCGTGTAATCCCAGCTACTCAGGAGGCTGAGGTGGGAGGATCGCTTGAACCCCGGAGGCAAAGGTTGCAGTGAGCGGAGATAGCACCACTGTGCTCCAGCCTGGGCAACGGAGCAAGACTCTGTCTCAAAAAAAAAAAAAAAAAAGTAATTCTAGACACATATACATAAGAAAGATATTGGAAGAGGTTCTAACGATCTGATCTGGGAGGAGGATCTGACACAGCAGAACAACACTTCCTGAAACTGCTGAGAGGAAGTCCTAACCGGCGTCATTGATTCAGACAGTTCTCTTTACTGAACACTAGGTGTCGCTAAGCAGGCGCCATGACACGTGGCAGGAGGGAGAGCGGTAAAGGCGGCAACATCTAATCCATCAGTCGTGCTGTTCAGCAGATTCACGAATGCGGGAGGTTCCTTGGTGGCAAGACATTTTTACCCCACACCTATTCCGGCGCCTGGCACATACTAAGCACTTAATACTATGTTTCTTGAAATGAATTATTCAGAACGCAGGGGGTGCTTTTTACATGGTAGGTATTCAAAAATAATATGAGGTTTCTGAATGAGGATTCTTTAAAGCCTTCCGATCATGCTAGGATAAGAAAAATGGAGAAAACGAAAACATTCCAAATTAGAAGTCACTTGGGCAGTTAAACAAAGGGAGATAAGTTTAGCTATGAAATCAGACTTGGTAAATCTATGAGTGGTTTCCATTGACTCTACAGACATAGCGAAATACTTGTTTGAATGCAGATACAGAAAACTACCCTTTTATTTCTTCCTCTTTTGCTCAGGCGTCATCAAATGTTGATTCCTCTACTCTCAGCACCCAATACTTTATAATAATTTCTAATTAATTTTGGTGCAATGAGAAACTGATGAGAAACCATCAACAAGTTTATGTAATGTATGTTAGCGTAAAATGAAAAGTGGGAAATACAGGAGCAGTGACTGTTGGCTAGAAACAGCTGGTGGGAAGAGGAGAGGTAATCAGGAAGATCTCAGAAAACCCCAAGAACAGAACTTCTTCTTTCCCCTAACTTTTCTGACTCCTCCAATGTTGTTGTGGATGTCTGTCAGTTTTGCCTTCCTAGGGGCCATTTCTCTTCTGTTAACAGCAACTTGGTTTTACTTTAGAGGACTTCTCCCTTCCCGCATTGAGCATGGTCCTCCTGGGGCTGTCGGTTCACGTGTTCTCCCTTCAGACACCGGAGAGCGGAGCACTAAGCCAAGTTATGCCAATCAGAGGCCTGATCCCTGGAGACAACCACAGAGTCCAAAACTTTCATCTTGGTGTCTTGCTTCCTGGAGCCCCACAACTGCCTTCATTCTTGTCCTTTCAAAGACCCCAGTCCTCATTTTTCCTTCAGTCTGTGGCCCACCCCATTCTCTTCCAGTAAATTCTTATTTGCCTCTATTAGCCAGAGTTGTTATCTGTTGATTGCAGCGAAAGAACACTGACTGGTGTAATGAGGAAAATCTGGCCCTATGATTACTTTTATCATCTCTGTTGAACTTACTGAAAAAGATCAGCTCTAGGATAATGGAGACTTGCCCTGAAGATGAGGAATAACTATTATTTATGGACACTTGTTATGTTTCAGACACTCTTCTAAATACTTCCACATGTATCTTATTTAATCTTCAGAATGACCACATTGGAGAGGTGTTAACCCCATTTTACAGATGAGAAAACAGAGGCACAAAGTAATTAACGAACTTGCTCATTTTCACATGGCCAGATTAACGTGTCTCAAAATTTGTTTTATGGAATATTAGCTTTTCAGAATTGTGTTGGTTTCCTGGGGCTGCCATAACAAAGTACCACAAACTGGTGTCTTAAAACAACAGAAATGTATTGTCTCACAGTTCTGGAGGCTGTAAGTCTGAAATCACGGTGTTGGCAGTGACATGTTCTCTATGGCAGCTCTAGGAGAGAATCGTTGCCTGCCTCTTCCAGCTTCCGGGGGTTGCTGGCCATCCTTGGCATTCCTTGGCTTGTAAACACATCACTCTGTTGTCACATGGTTGTTTTCTGTGTGCCCTTTTCTTATAAGGACAGCAGTCACATTGGAGTAAGGGCCCACTTGCTCTAGTATGACCTCATCTTAACTAATTATATCTGTAATGACTCTATTTCCAAATAAGGATGCATTCTGAGGTGCTGCAGGTTAGGACTTCTTTTTTGGGAGATCAAATTCAATCTATGACAAAAAATGTTAATAGAAATTGTTCAAAAAAGAATTCTATGGCCAACTAAGTTTGGGAAACACCATTATAGGATTCTTTGCTGTAGTACTTTGACAGAGCGAGGGTCTTTAATTTTTCATCATTGAGAAGAGTTGCCAACCTGGGACTATTATGTAGTGTTTCTTAAAAACGTGTTTGATGATGAACTTCTTCTTACAGGCTGACTGTGGGATCAGCAGTCAATGTGGAACACCTGTTCTCATTCCTGATGCGAGGCAGTGGCACCCTAGCGCATTCCTCCCTGGTCTTCTGCTTTCCCCTGTGACCTGCAGCATCAACTTAAGACAACTTTTTCTTCTCTGAGCCTGAATTTCCTCATCCCTAAGATAAGGAAAATAATATACTTTCCCTATGGGTTTCACATGCAGACTCGTTTTTGTTGTTGTTGGTCTTGAGATTAAGTCTTGCTCTGTTGCCCAGGCTGGAGTGCAGTGGCACCATCTCTGCTCACTGCAACCTCCACCTCCTGGGTTCAAGCAGTTCTCCTGCTTCAGCCTTCCAAGTAGCTGAGATTACAGGCACACGCCACCACGCCCAGCTAATTTTTGTATTTTTGGTAGAGATAGGGTTTCACTATGTTGGCCAGGCTAATCTTGAGCTCCTGACCCCAAGTAATCCATCTGTCTGGACCTCCCAAAGTGCTGGAAGTACAAGTGTGAGCTACCATGCCCAGCCTATGTGCAGCCTACTTTAATTTAAAATAGGTAGGCTGAGAAACATGTGGTACAGGACTTGGCATAGAGAGAAGTAGGCATTCATTAATTAAAAAATTTTTTTTTTCATTTAAATTTTTATTTTGAGATGGTGTCTTGCGCTGTCGCTTGAGTTGGAGTGCAGTGGCGCCATCTCGGCTCACCGCAATCTTCACCTCTCGAGTTCAAGCAATTCTTTTGCCTCAGCCTCCCGAGTAGCTGGAATTACAGGTGTCCACCACCATGCCCAGCTAAATTTTTGTATTTTTAGTAGAGATAGGGTTTCACCATGTTGGCCAGGCTGGTCTCGAACTCCTGACCTTGTGGTTCACCTGCCTCGGCCTCCCAAAGTGCTGGGATTATAGGCGTGAGTCACCGCTCCTGGCCAGCAGTCAATTAGGAGTTAACTATGTTATGTTAACCAGATGGTTCTAAATTTCTTGGCATTTTTATTAGGCATTTCCAGGATCTCAAGAATAATCCCTAATCAGGACAATTTCCACCAACTAGTTTTTCTTGTTCATCTTCCTCTTCCTTTAATCACTTCTTTTTCCCTTTAAAAGAGTGATTTTCTGTATGGTAGTAAGAATTAACCTTAGGTAACTATTCAACCCAACTGTGGTTTTAATAAGTCTTCATCCAGCATTAGCAAAGAATGGGTGGTTTACTCTGTAGTTCCTTATTCTGATCTTCCACCCCGGTGAGGGGAAGAGGATGTGATCATGCGACCGCCAGCAGAAGGGAAATTGTGAAAGCGATCTGAGGTACAAAAGGCAGCCCACAGCCACCTCAGCGCGCAGAGGAGGCCCAGCTGCTGAGAGGAGGTGCCTGAGAGTGACCTTTGCATCTGCCTGTCCAGCTAGCATGGAACCAAAGAGGATCAGAGAGGGCTACCTTGTGAAGAAGGTGAGCAGAGGTGCTATTTACAAGGGTGTCACTGGCCACAGGCTGGGGAGGCTTGGGTCCAGCTCCACGGGCTACCTGCTCATCTTAGGAATGTTTCCTGCTCACCCATTGGGTTGAAATAGGAGAGTGTGGTAGCACATAGAATGTTGGAATGGGGTTAGGAAAGTGGAGATACTCATCCAGCCCCGGCTTCCTTACAGTTCGATTTTATGGTCTGAGAATTCCAGATGGCAGGGTCTGGAAGGTGGAGTCTAGGCTAACTCCCTCCAGATTTAGAATGTCTTTTTTAAGAGCCACACAAATGTGTTCTGTCAAAAGAAATACTCCTCTCCAATAGAGGTTATGTGGAGAGAATATTCATTTTTTTATTTAAATCCCCCTTCCCCTCAGTTATTTTGTTTTGGGAGGGAAGGGAAAAAAAGTGATTAAAGAATTGATATAATAATACAGTAATTACAGCTTATTTTATGGGCCATCTTCTTGGAATTGATGTGTAAAAAAACCTCATCTTTTTTTTTTTTATTGGGCTGAAATCTCTTCACTCACAATTCTTAGTAAATTTGCATAATGTGACAGCGAGGTGGTAGATGCACCATTTTAAAGATTAGTGTGTTGAAAAAGCCTTAGCCTTCCTGGTGTGGTATCAGGAAAATTGAATTTTCTTAGCACTGTTGGTCTTTATTCAGATGCTGAGTGTGTGCTGTGTTGTTGTGGAAGCTCCCTGGGATGTGAATTCACACATAGGACTTGGCATCCTGCGGGCCACATCTGTACACACAGATATGCTCACAGTAACCTTAGTGAGTCGATTGTTTCAGAACTGAGCTGAATGTAGTGGCTTCCTTCAGATGCCTAGCTTTTAAATTGAATGAACAGCAAACGTGAGTTTGTTTTAGGCCATTCATTGGTTTCACGTTTTTCCAGCCTGCAACGTTATACCTGTAAGGGGGGTAAAAGAGCACACATTGCTGCCTGCTTCCATTTTGACTTCAGGCTGGGGGGACCTTAGATCATCTGGCCCAATTCCTTCATTTGCGGAAGAGGAGACAGACCCAGAAGGCTCCGCGATTGCCCCAAGTCACACGGGTGTGACAGCTGGGACCAGCAACTCCTTCTCTGACGCCTAGGTTTCTGACTCATGACACTGACCTTTGTTCATTACTCCAGCATTTTCTTAAGGCAAATTTATTCTCGGTTAGGATTTGTAGTGTATTTGTGATGGCGAAAGTTCTGAGTTGGTACTGGAGAATAAGTGGGCCCTCAGCTGCTAATCTTTCTAGCCAGCTGTACTTTGAAACATCATTTGGAAAAGACACACAGGTACGTAGAAGCATGAAAGATTCCTTGCAACAGGCACCAATAATTGGTGAGATCTAGTAATAATCAATGTTGACTTATTCCTTTCCTGATCACTTGTGCTAGTACCCTGAGAAGAGCAAGTGAATGGAAACATTTCTGCAAGTTTTTGTTTGTTTTTTAAACAATTAAAAATATCTTGCAATGAAAATTGCTGTTATGAAATTTGTATGCTCATATTTTAATCTCCCTAAATTACAAAAATATCAAGACTAAATTTCTAATAAGTGACGCTGCCTCACTAAAAAATGGGGATGATAAAGTCAGGGTTGTCAAGCACCTGGGATTTAAATTTAAAAAAAAAAATGGTTTTTAATTAATGAGAGTAGCTCTCTCAGATTATAAAAGCCAATCTAGAAAATGTACCTGGAATTAAACAGTGAAATTTTTTTATATATCCATAATTTTCATGTTTACAAGTTACATCTTCCATAATTTTTGCATTTTTCTCTGGGACCTTTTGAACACTCCTGATATAATGCATTAAGATTCTCTTTTTATTTTTTTATTCTTCTAAAACTTGTATTTTAGGTTCAAGGGTATATGTTCAGGTGTATTACAGAGGTAAACTCCTGTGACATGCGTTTGTTGTACAGATTATTTTGTTACCCAAGTACTAAGCCTAGTATCCAATAGTTGTTTTTTCTGATCCTCTCCCTCCTCCTACCCTCCACTCTCACATAGCTCCCAGTGTCTCATTTGAGATTTTTGAGAAATGTTTGGTCCAGAAATATTCCCTTTGTCAGCTGCAGAACTAAACCTAAACACAGAATTTCCCAAGAAGGTATTAAAGTTCTTAACTTCTTTAGGCATCAAATTTCCTTCAGTTACCTCATGTATGGGTTAAAAACTGTGTATGTCAGGAACCTGACACACAGCTGGTGTCACATTAGCTGCATAAGACACTAATTATTCGTATCAGCATCAATATACATTTCAGTAGTTAGTGGGGCCTCTCCTAGGTGTTAATGGGAGTATATACTGGTTCCGGGGTTGGTTGCCAAATTAATCATGAAGGAAGGGCCATAAAAGTCTTTTAAAAGACTGTTAGAAGCCTTGGCTATGCTTGTTGATGTTAAAGCATTAAAACAAACAAACAAACAAAACGAATCTCTCTCCATTCACCTTTTTCTCTTATGCAGTTCAAGACACCTGGGTAGTAACAGAGAACATCTTTGTCCTGTGTCTTGTTTTATGGAATAATTTTATTGCAGATAAGATGTTTTGGGTGGGAAAAATACAGCATTAGAAAATGCTGGTGCAGGAATTTTGTCAGGTCAGAAATCTTAGAGTCAATAATGTGAAGTGTAAAATGTTTCTGCTTTTCTTCTGTGTAAGATAACTGTTGACATTTCATAATCCAGATTTCCTCTTTTGCTTCCTGATTAAGATCTCTTAATAAAAACAGTGGTTAAGAGGGGGAGGGAAAATACATGATTCTGTCGTTTTCCAACTTTTTTATTCCAAGTAACACCCATGTCTCTTTGCCACAGAGTCTTTCTCCTTCCTTTTTTGTTTTAAAAAAGAGCACATCTAGCCAACCATGGAACAGTGAGCTGCTGTACAAATATGACCTCATTCAATCCTAACCACCCTAGGTGATTGCCATCTTATGGATAAGAAAACTGAGGCTCACAGAGATTAAGTGACTCGCTCACAGACATACAGCTGGCAAGAGGATGACCTAGGATTCAAATCCAGCCCTCCCTAAGAGCAAAGCTTACCATCTCACTGATCCCAGGCAGCATTCTGAAAGGGAGGCTTACCCAGCTTGCAAAAGAAAGGTCAGATGAACTCACTAGAGCCAGAGTGAGGCATGAACAAATTGTATTGTGGGCAAGATTGGGTTTAATAACCTCAGCCTCCCTTCCTCTCTGTTCAGGGAGTTTCTTTTTGGGCAATAAACATGTTTGGAAGGTCCTTGAATACTTAATACTGAATTAGATATATTCATCATCATAGCTGGAAAAAAAAGAGAGAGAGGAAAAAATTATATGCTCTGCATAACCTGGACTCCTCCAAGCCATGTCTCAAACCAGCCTCATTCTGAGAGGTTTATGTCGTTTCCAGGACAACCAGCCCCACAAGCACTTGGCACAGCAGGACTGACTCAGAAAGCGGCTGAGGGATTTGGATGCCCTGTAAGTCTGGGAGAAAGCGTAGGACTCAGGGTGATGGGGAAAAGAAGGGCAAGCAGCAGGGACAGGAAAGCAAAGGGCTGCAGAAAGCTGCGGTAGAAGCGGAAAACCAGGGGCAAGAGAGAGAGCAGGAGAGTCAGGGTCCTGGCCCAGGAGTTATCTCCTGCATCTACCTTGTCTTCTAGGTGGGATGAAATAATCTCAAGTGATTTGCACCTACTGGTTCATCATCATTGTAATAGCTAACGCATGTGGTGTTTACTCTGAAGCAGGAACAGTTCCAAGCATTTCATGCCTTAATGCATTTATACAACATGCTTATGACAACTCTGCAAAATAGGGACAATTATCCTTACTTAACAGATGAGGAAATCGAGGTACAGCAAGGCAAAGGGCCTTGCCCAAAGTCACACAGTTAATAAGTGGCAGAGCTGGTTTGGAACCCAGCAGTGTAGCCCAGCATCACGCGGAGCCTAACCACTTTCTATGTGGCCTTCACAGGCTTGTATTGCAGTGACTTTCTTTTCCAAAGCACTGTCACGATGATGGATGGTACCCAGGAGAACCTTATGCCAGAATGACTCTACAGTATTGCCTGCAAAACCACACTCTTACCTGTCTCTATGATCACCATTTTTCAAATGTCTACTACGTGCTGGCCACTGTGCTGAATGCTTTATGTATATTGTCTTGTTTAATCTTCATAATAATGGGGAGCAGTTACTCTGTTACTTTCATTTTACAGGTGAGGATACTAATGCTTGGAAAAAATTGAGTAACTTGCCTAAGATTACAGAGCCTGGAAGAGGCAAAGTTGAGATCTGAACTTAAATCTAGGGCTACAGAAATCATGCTGTTAAGCATTCTCTGTGCCATTTCTGTATTGCTTATTTAATATGTTTTCACTGAGAAATTTTCCAACCTGGAAGAGTTCACTTATGTAAAAAATATGCTGCTAAAAAGACTAGTTCCTTTGCCTTCAATGAGTTTATATAGGCACAAAACAACCATTTGTTTGAGACGTTATGTCAGTGATTTGATGGATCAGATTGGAAAACTAGATGATGTGATTTATGCTGTAGCTGACATAAGGGCATAATTGAATGCAACATCAACTTAAAATAACATGTCCCATGTGATGTGAGAATAGATAATAGTAGCTGACAGTTCTGCTTTAGATACATAGTTTTGATCACAGTGTAATTTTCCTTTGAATTCCAGCCATACATCGGTATGTGAAAAGAGAAATTTGAGGGAAAGGGGAAGTTAAAAGAGAGGTTTTCACTTTGTGGGGAATATTTGAGAGGAGTTCTAAACACAAATATCCTATTGCCCCAACCCTCAGCCATTGGTTGTGCTTCTTTCTGTGACGCTGGGTGTACACAGAAAGGCACACCTGAATTTGTGCATTCGTCACACTAACCTGGAGGTCACTCTCTCCCATGTGAGATTGTGAACTATTTGAGAGCAAATATAGAGTCTTGTTTATTTTTGTTTTTATTTATTTTATTTATGTATTTTGAGACAGAGTCTTGCTCTGTAGTCCAGGCTGGAATGCAATGGTGCAATCTTGGCTCACTGCAACCTCCACCTCCAGGGTTCAAGTGATTCTCTTACTTACATCAGCCTCCTGAGAAGCTGGGACTACAGGTATATGCCACCACGCCCAGCTAATTTTTATATTTTTAGTAGAGATGGGGTTTCACCATGTTGGCCGGGCTGGTCTTGAACTCTTGACCTCAAGTCAAGTGATCCACCCGCCTTGGCCTCCCAAAGTGCTGGGATTCCAGGTATGAGTCACTGCGCCTGGACTTGATTATTTTTATAGCCCAACAACCAGGCCAGTGTTGGAAGCATAGTAGCCATTCTATCATTATTTGTTGAACGAATGTGTCCCAAATAAAGAAACTTGCCTAAAATAGACTCATAGAGACCAAAGAATCAGGATTCTACATTAGAGTAACTTTTTTAAGTCTTAAAGTAATTTCAAGGGGGTAGTCATTTTTAGATGATCATGTAGAATATATTTTTTGGCTTTCAAGGAAGCTAAAGATTGGCAGGGACACCTGGAAATAGAAGACTAAAGGGGGAAAGGAGGGACAGTGGGCTCCTTGGAATAGATGTGTAGGATCTCAGGGTAGAAAGAGATGTTACAGATTTAATCCAACTTCTCATCTGGGGCTTGCATTTCTTTTATTCATCTGTTAACAAGCACGCTTGAATACTTATCTTGTTAGGGAACTTACCAATTAAATTTTCTCCCTTAAGTTATGCAGAAAACTGTTTTCCTAAAACCTCTACCTGCTGGGACTTCAAAACAATCCAGGTGTTCACACCTGCTCTGCCTGTTCCTTTATGGGCTAAAACCTAGCCAGTTTCTCCAATAGTTAGAGAGGTGATACCATCTTGGTGCTCTGTGTCAAACAGGCTCTGGTTTCTCTGCAGCTTTGAGGTCTCTTGAACTCAATGTAGTCCTCCAGGGGCACCTGATAAGCATAAAACTGTAAGGAATAGGTACTATTTAATAAATGATTACTATATGCCAGATATTAATTTAAGCAATTTACACGAATTGTTTTCATCGCCCAGCAACCCTAAGAAGTAGATAGCATCTTATCCACTTGCTAGATGGAGAAAATGAGGTTTAAAAACTTGCTCAAGGCCATATTACTAGAAAGTGGCAGAGTTGGGATTTGAGTCTGAGCCATCCAGCGCCAGAGCCCATGGTCACCCGCAGGCTATGCTTTGTTTAAAGACAGAATTATCATTTTCCTTGCTTTGGATATTACACTTCTATTTATATGACCACAATGAGTTTAGGTTTTTTTGACAGCACACATCACACTGCTGACTCATAGAGCTCCTTATTCCCCTCATGCTCATTTTCCACACCTTACAAGTTTTTTAAAAAAATATTATTAAAGAGACTGTATCTTATTTAATTTTAATTTTAATTTTTTATTGCTGTTGAAGCAATCGATTATGTTTTATTGGACCCAGGTATTTATTCTTTTGAGAATTGCTTGCTTATATTGTTTTCCCATGTAAAAAATTGTGAGAATTTATATATTTCTTATTCTAAAGCGTTTAAAAAATTAAAGATATTAACTTTTAGTCATATGATGATACAAATATCTATGCATTTTCATTTGCTTTTCACTTGTTGCAGTTTTTTAAATATAGAGAGGTTTATTTTATTTTTTTTCTTGAGATGAAGTCTCACTCTGTTGCCCAGGCTGGAGCGCAATGGCATGATCTATGCTCATTGCAACCTCCACATCCTGGGTTCAAGTGATTCTCCTGCCTCAGCCTCCCAAGTAGCTGGGACTACAGGTGTGCACCACCACTTCCAGCTAATTTTTGTATATTTTTAGTAGA